CTTCTGTCTTCTCTCCTTAACTGGTATGTCTGATTTTATTACAAGTTCAAAACTCTATGTGTTCTCTTACTGCATTAGTTTATTGATTTCCAGTCTTATTCTTGTCTATCACTTGGCTTTTCGATATGTAACAAGCATGCTTAAATCCCGGTTTCACTTAGCATATATGAGTTCTACCCGTTCAACTTATGATTAACATGTCTGATAACTTGTCTATTGCTTTCTCTAGCATGTCTCAATCTGACTCTACTCCATGTATGTATGATTGTTTGTCTGTTTGTTTACCAGTTCCTGATAGTAATTTACTTTGATAGGTTATTCTGACTCTATGTTCAACTTTGCCTAGTATAACTATGTTCTCAACTGTTTGTTCTATATCTAGCTGTGTGATTGACTCCTAAACTTCTGTGCTCTTGTTGTTACATTAATATGTTCTAGGTGTTCCCCCTACCCTTTCCCTTGGATGAAGTCTACGCGTTCTATGACTTGCTCTCTGATTTTTATTAAAAATATGTTCTTCATGTTTTCTCAAACTATTTCTACTCTAACTATGTTCTTCTTTCTATTGTTTACCAAACTCTTTCAAAGTCATCCTACGCTCCCACATTACTCCTAGAATATTAGGCTCTGCCCCTATGGCATGTGTATTGCCTTGAGATCCTTGAGGTCTCTCTGAACTCTGGCATGTCAGAGCCGGCCTTTCCACGCTGCACTTAAATCAGTTATTGTTGGAGAAAAGGTCTAGGTGTGAGCACTGCCCGGGATCCTTGAGGTCCTTAGGGAACTCTGACACACCTAGACATGATATTGTCTATGGAATTTGGCATCTGAGGCTATTGGAGGCTTGGGAAGTCATTTGGACCTGCTTCAGGATCCCTATAGTTAACTTCTTCTTTTTCTTTATTTGTTTATGTAATTTATTCAGCTGGTCTGTAATAATTATTTGTAAACAACATTGGGAAGATTAGTGAAAAGGGCTGGGTAGTTACATATCTGTTGGGTAACTCGGGTAGATACCATGCCTATAGGATTGCGTTAATGCATTTGCTATGTTTTGCTTTATTTCCACAATATTAGAAACCATGCTTATACGATCTAAATGGCTCTAATAATAGAAATCATGCTTATAGGGTTAAAATTAACTTTACCATTAGATATCATGCCTATAGGGTGTAAAGTGATTGTGTTCAATTTCTGTTACAGCATTTATTTACATTCGTCTCACTAGAAATCATGCCTATAAGTTCGAAATCAGTTCTTAACAATTAGATACCATGCCTATAGGAATTAAAATCAGTTCTAGTAGAAACCTTTCCTATAGAACTTAAAATCAGTTTAGTTAAACAAATCAGTTTAGTCCATGTTAGTTCGTTCTGAATTGGTTTAGTCAACTGTCTGCTTCTTTAAATGAGTTCTCAAGCACTGCCTTAATTCACTACCGCTAGAAAGCATGTCTATAAGATCTCAAGTGTCTGTTTAGAAACTGTTCACTGTTTTACTGCATTCCTAATCAATGTAGATGTCATGCTCTTAGGACACCACTATTCTGCGCTTAGGCAAGCCACTAGGGCGATTCAAACTCTGCAACTATGAAACTATGCTTTGTTATTTAAAACCGTCCAGATTTAACAGGTCTAAATCAGTAGGCAAGCTAAATATGATTTTTACACTTCATCCTAATTCAATACTATATAATCCCTACTCGCCTAGATATCATGTTCTAGGATTTTCTCTCAAATACCTGACTGTTGTTTGAAGACGTGCATTTACTTGTTATATTTGTGGAGGTAACAGTGAGCCTGTAATTGTTCTTGATTGACGCCTAGACTTTTATCCTTTAAAACCTTATGAAGATCTAGAACTGTCCAAAGTAGAGGCCCTAAAATATCTCAAGGGCCACGAGGAAGGGACGGATAGTGCATGCATAGGATATTTTCAAGGTTGCTAGAGCGCTTTAGGCTATGACCAAGGGGAGGGAATTGTGTAGTAGGGATATGATTACTACGCGCTAATGTCACGTATAGCCCCTCATTGAGGAGTGTTTATCGGGCATTGTATGGGGTGATCCTATAGGCTAACCAACCTAGGACCCCTCTTTCCCGATTCCCAATGTTTAAACTTTGCTTTTTCCCTATACATACAATTTGTTCAAGTCTTTCCTTTGTCTCTTTACTTGAGTCATACAATGTCCAAAGCATGCCCTTATTTGCAACTATGTGTTTAAACTATTTATTTATTAAAAGGACTAATTCATAAGTATAAGTTCAGCTGGGACCCACCGTTGTGGACCAAGAGGGTGCCTAACACCTTCCACTCAAGGTTATTTCGAGCCCTTACCCTAAATCTCTGGAAATGCAAACCAGTCTAAGAGTTAATCACTATAGGTGCCCTAACGCACCATAATTCATTAGGTGTTGACTCTTCAAAATACCCAAATCCCAAAAGGAAATGAGTTATTTCCCCCATGATCGAAACCCGGGCTTCTCCCCGCGAGGAGGGAAAAAGGGGGCGCGATATAGAGCAGCGTTGAAAGAAGATTAAATGCAATGTGCATTTAATGTTTCAAGACCATTAATGAGGAGGGAATGTCAAGCAATAAATAACAATAAATGGCATTAGAGTAAATAAGGAGAATGATTAACCACAATATGGAATGAGGTGGATAATTCCTCATTCTGACAATGATGGATGATAGACAAATACTAGAATATTGGGACCCTTTTCAGATCTGATGGAAAAGATATGGAATAATAGACAATCGAATCTCTTTAGAAAGGTTATGTTTGTATTCTATCTAGAGAGAAAGTCTGCTTTTCAAAGAATGTTCTTATCAGAGAATATTACATGCCTTTTACCTTATCTCTCTTTCTATTTATAGGGACATGCCCCCAATTAACCCTAAAAGTACAAGTACAGAGAATATCCAACAGAATATTCTCTTAAAGATCCTGCTAATAAACCAACCATTACTGCCTCTTCTGATACTTGACCTCGGCCATGATTGACTGCTCGGTGGTGAGTCCTATTGGTTACTAGTCGACCTCGGCCAAATTACTTTTGGTAATACCACTACATGTCGAATATCCTTAGGCAGATTTTGATTCATACAATCGCCTCCCTTCCTTTACCAGTACACTCCTTCCCCCTTCTCCCTGACTAGCCCCATTTCTCCCCTTTTCTTCCATTCGAAATCCATTTTTTTCCTTATGCTTCCAAATCGAACCCAGCAATTTTTTTATTATCAAAAACTTCCTTCAATCTTCTCCCAAGCTATTCTTCCACTAAATGTCAAGGGTATAGTTGAGAAGGAAGATTAAGAATCCAAAAGTTGTATGCCAATTTTTGAATTTTATAGTAGTTTACATCACCATGGTCATAATTTGGCAAGAACAGAAAAAAATTAATTTTGGAATTTTAGAAGAAATCAATGATGGCTTCAAAGTGGGGGAGCATTCTGTTTCACCACTAAATTCATCTCCTCCTTCACTGCTAAACCAAGCACTATTTGATGAAGAACTTTTCAGAATATCTATGGGAAATTCTTGTTTGATTTGGGTTCTTAAGATTTGATTGAAGAATAGGTTCTTGATGAATATTTAAGAACATGATTATGGAGAAACAAGGGCTACCGATCATTTTGAATTTGGGTTTCGGTCCAGACTTTATCGGCAATAGGTTTTCTTTACCGATTGTTTGGGGGGTGGGTTGGGGACGGGGGGAAGGGGAGGTGTTTAGGTGGAGAAGAAAAGATATAATAAAATTTTGATAAATAAATTTTAAAAATGAACCCACAAATAACACATGTCAAGCAATAAATAGTTTAACATATGATGCGTTGTACATGTCAGCGTAATTGATATACACGCTTTGTGGGATGTGCTTATTAACCCTCGTTCTATTAAATTGAAGTGTTCAAATGGAAAAGTTGTAAGTTCGTTTACCGGGTTGGCAATCAGGTGCAAGTTAAGTGGCCAATAGGTCATTTTGCCTATTTTTTTTAATTTTTTTTATAGAGATTAAGTAGGCGTTTGGACATGAACTCCAATTTTTTTCGTTCTAAACTATCATCCATTGATCCCCGAACTCGATCCCGTCTTAATTCCTTAGGCTTTTACTCAGACTTCAAAGCTTCAAATCACTTTAATTCATTCCATAACATCTACATAGCTCGGAATCACTCCTACAAGGCATAAAATACACCATTAGTGCAAAACACTAGCGATTAAAGCTCAAACTTAATTAAAGCACAGTAAGTTAGAGTGTAATAAGCGACTAAAATACGTAATTATAGCCTATCATCAAAGATGAAGTTGTGTTTGGTTATAATTTTTGCAACATATTTGGATGTCTTTTTTTTTTCAAAACCATGAAACATGATTTATACCCCACAACTTATAAAAAATATCAAAACCACCCCACTTTGATTATCCTACTTGAAATAAACAATCAAAATGCTGTTGTTTAACTGTTATCATATTCTGCTTTACTGCAATACATAGAAGATGCAAAATCAATATCACATTTTCTAATTATACTAACACACAGAGAAGGTGCAAAAGCAGGCATAGCCACATATTTCTCATAACCATATAATCGAACTTCCGGTAGGCATAGTTCAAGTATCAACTAGACTGATGTTCCACCATCAGTCGCCAAAGATATATCTGCCAAAGATGAAAATTGATGGGATCATTTTATAAATTTTAAAAATATAGGATAAATTTATAAAACTAAAACCTAGCAAATTCCCATTTTCAATTGAAAAACTGGTGAGAATCATTTTTTCAAATTTGAAAATGGATTTTCAAGTGAAAAAGAAAAAAATGGTAAAAATGGGATAACCAAACATTACTTTCAAAATTTTTTTTGAAAAAAAGCAAAAATTGTGTATGTCCAAACGGGCTCTAAAATCTTCTTATCAAACCCGCCAAATATTCCTAAAGAAATACTAGGACTATCCCGTAGATCAATATCACGTTTTTATTGTTCACTCCTTACGGACCTCCTCTGCGTTTTTTGGATTAAACCCAAAGTCGTGTACGTTTCTATCTATTATTATCTGCTGAGGCGCGTCCACGGAGGATTGGATATGCATTACACAGCAGCAGCCAAAGCTCTCCTCTTACTCTCCCACTAATAAAAAGCTTCGAATCTACACACAAAAAAGAAGCATAAGACGGATCAAGTAGAAAGAATGCTGCGAATTTGGACAAGGAGATTAGCTTCAGAATGCTCCATTTCACGGCGGATATACCCGGGTAGTTTCATTTCGACCCGAAATAGCTCCATGGGAATCCTACCCGACACTCTCGACCGTAGCTCCGAGTCGTATTCTCGCAACTCTAGAGTCATGGATGGACTTGTTTCCCAGCTTCATTCTCACATTCGAAAGGTCACTTTTCTATTTTAAAATTTTCCCCAGATTTTCTGTTTACTTTGATTGTTTTAAGTACAGAGCAATTGTGAATTGTTTTATGTTGTTAGGTTATGGAAGGAGGAGGGGCAGAAGCAGTGAAGAGACATAGGAGTAGGGATAAGCTTCTCCCTAGAGAGAGGATTGAACGGCTTATTGACCCTGGCTCTTCTTTCCTTGAGCTTTCTCAGGTTAACTTCTTCCATTTCCTTTCCCAGCTCTTACTCTTTCAACTAATTATAATTTTGATTGCTAGAAGCACTGTTTGTCATCTTTGTGGGAGTTATCGACATAATTTTTGTTATTAATCTTGTTATGATACATTATTACCAGCATGTTAACTAGACTATAGATTGTAGATAAATGACATTTAACAAATGGTTTTACAGATTATTTCCAAGCAGAAGAAAAACTATGAAGACAAGTCTTTCTTAATAATTAAAAAACTATAAAGAAAAGTCATATACTTTAGGTGAAATGTCAATATCCTTGAATATTAGGAACTCAAGAAACTGGCGCCAACCCTACCTTTGAGCCCTACGTTGGCCCATCAAGGGGAAACATTTAAGAGAAATGAATATTTTTAGCCGCTTCAAAAAATAATAGAAGACAAAATGATATATTTTTTTTTGTATATATGTGTATTATATACATATAATATAGTACCTATTTTATACTGGGTTAGGGCACGTGCGGAGGAGAAGCGCAGAAGCCCCGGTAAGAGGTGTGAGCGGTTGGTTTTGGCTGGTACGAGAAGAGGTAGAGGACGGTCTAAGAAGTATTGGGGAGAGGTGATCAGGCAGGACATGGCGTGACTTCAGATTTCCGAGGACCTGACCCTTGATAGGAAGGTGTGGAGGTTGAGCAATAGGGTTGTAGGTTAGGAGGCAGTTGAGCATTTTTCTACATCGTTCCGGGTGAGAGGCTAGTCTGATAGGGTTTTGTCTTAGATTGCTAGTGGTTAAGGTTGTGTTCATACTATTCTTCCTTTTTTCATAGTACCGGGCCTTATCTACTTGTTATTGTTATTGCTTTTCATCTATTTTTTGGTCCTTATGTTGCTGATATTATTTCTGTGATTTCTGTTGATGGTGCTGATTTATTGTCTCTGATCGTCTTCTTGAGCCGAGGGTCTTTCGGAAATACCCTCTCTACTCCTCAGGGCAGGGGTAAGGTGTGCGTACTCACTACCCTCCCCGACCCCACTTGTAGGATTACATTGGGTTGTTGTTGTTGTTGTTGTTTATACACTTTTTGGCTAGCGAATGCAATTAGTTTTGGCCGACCGGCTAATTTTGTATTTTGCCCGACATTTTACATGTATTTGTTCCAACTTCTCTTATATTGTCCAAACCTCCCACATTCTAGAACAAGCGTATTTCACATGATTTTTGAAATAAATTCTTTGAGAACTACAGCTTTCCACCTTTGGATAAAATTACTAGAAAAAGTGACTATCTACTTTTCTTCCCTATGCTTAATAGCAGGACACCAACTTTTACTACCACTCTTACAAAATCATCTCATTTGTACATTTGCTTTCTTACTTTTCAATTGGCAAAAGGAAACAAAATAAAAAGAAATAAGAATTTGATGCGTACACAGAAAAAATTTCGCTCCAGAACTAACCTTCGTATGACATATAACCACTAGATTTGTGAAAAGTTGAATTCTCCTTTTGATTTGTCTATGTTTCATAGGAATAATCTTCCCAAACATTCATCTTTATTTGATTCTTTTGTTTATCTTTTAATAAAATATTTGCCTGTGAAATACTTTAACTAGTCAATTGCCTTTGTTGATAGGATTACATAAGCAAAAGACTTGTAAATTCTACAAGTTAATATATTGATATTGTATATCATATGAAGCTATTTACTGTTCATTTCTTTTACTTACCCAATGTAGGGATGAGGGTGACATTAGTAATCTTAAAATTTAGATATAGGATGGTATAACACTGAACAAACTTTTCATATTCATAGTGAAGTAGAAGGCGCAGAGCTTATGAATAAGTAAATACGTTGCCTGCTTATTAAAGAGCCTTTACCAGGCCTCCTCCATGTGGAGCTTTCCCTTTCCTTCTAGGTGAAAGTTGGATTCAGTGCACCAGTTTTGCAGTTTGTTGGGTGCTAGGTTTCTATCATTATCTGAGCATAGAAATTTGTGAAAGGAACCTGATGGAAAAATTCATCGCCGACCCCAACTAGTTTGGGACTGAGACGTAATTGTTGTTGTTATTGTAACCTGATGGAAAAATTATTGTTTGTGCGATTAGCATCATTCAGCTCGTATACTTGATCCAGCTTGCGTCTACGGGCCATTCTTGTTCATAGCGGTTGAGGGAGTCCTCTTCATGCCACTAGGTCAAGAGTTCGAGCCTGGTACATTGCCAAACAAAAAAACTTGAGCTGGCAAGTCAATCAATTTATTTGATTCTTTTGTTTATCTTTCAATAAAAATCTGCCTGTGAAATACTTTGAAAAGTTGATAGGATTTGCATAAGCAAAAGACTGGTAAATTCTAAAGTTAGTATATTGATATTGTGAATAATATGAAGCTACTTACTGTTCATTTCTTTTAGTTACACAATGTAGGAATGAGGCTGACGTTAGTAATTTTAAAATTTAAAGATAGGATGGTATGACACTGAACAAACATTTTATATTGTGAAGTAGAAGGCGCAGAACTTATTAATAACTACATAGGTTGCCTATTTATAGGGTTGAAGAGTCCTTTCCAGACCCTTTCAATGTGGAGCTTTCCCTTCCCTTCCCTTCTAGATGAAAGTTGGATGCAATGTACCAGTTTTGCAGTTTGTTGGGTGCTAGGTTTCTATCATGATCTGAGCATAGAAAATTGTGAAAGGAACCTGATGGAAAAATTACTGTTTGTGCGTTTCGAATCATTCAGCTAGTATACTTGATCCAGCTTGTTTCATTATCAAGTTATCTTGAGTTGAATCATGAATTTCTTAAGATATGTATGGTAATTGCTCATTGTCTTGAGGAACTAATGTACTTAAGTTTATGCAAAAATTTGAGAATACGTGGCTACTATAATCTCTTTTCTGATAAATTCGGTACTTGAGAATGCTGCCTGAATTTCAAGCACAAAAATACCATTTCCTGGTCCCTCTGGTCGGGCTGGGTAAACTTTTTTTTTTGTTATAAATTCCTTTCAGAAAAATATCCCAGTATGTGTTTTCTTAATCTAAATCATTGTCTTGTAAATATAGCTTGCGGGTCATGAATTGTACCAAGAATCATTACCTTCTGGTGGGATAATTATTGGAATTGGAACAATACATGGGAGACTGTGTATGTTGGTGGCAAATGATCCTACTGTCAAAGGTGGAAGTTACTTTCCAATAACTGTCAAGAAACATCTCAGGGCACAAGAGATTGCTGCTCAATGCAACCTACCGTGTATATATCTTGTTGATAGTGGTGGAGCTTTCCTTCCAAAGCAAGCCGAGGTTTTTCCGGACAAAGAAAATTTTGGGAGAGTATTTTACAATCAAGCTGTGATGTCTTCAGAAGGTATTCCTCAAATCGCACTGGTGCTAGGTTCTTGTACTGCCGGAGGAGCTTACATTCCTGCAATGGCTGATGAGAGCGTAATGGTCAAAGGGAATGGTACGATATTTTTGGCTGGACCTCCTCTTGTAAAGGTTAGCAGTTGACCTTCTTGTTCTCTGTAAAACATTGATATCTTTCATCATAATTAAGAATAATAGAGCATTAGAGATTTTACTGGTTCAGTTAAATGCTTCTCTGAGCATAATGTCTATCTGATAGAAAACTTTTATCAGGCAGCAACTGGTGAGGAAGTTTCTGCAGAAGACCTTGGAGGTGCAACTGTGCATTGTAAGACATCAGGGGTTTCAGACTACTTTGCCCATGGTAAAATCCCCTCGTGCTATTCAGCTTTCAGATTGTATTTCCATTTCCTCGATTCATAGTTTTGATTTATGCTTGTGGTGGTGTCTTCTGCCGATCTTGATGTTTCCTGACACAATGATGGCATCTAACATCCTATGTTGTAGATGAACTGCATGCGCTTGCTATAGGAAGGAATATTGTTAAGAACTTGCACATGGCTGGTGGTCCAGAAGCATCTGGACAAACTAGAGCTGATTATAAAGAACCATTATATGATGTGAAAGAACTTCGCACCATTGCACCAACAGACCTCAAACAGCCCTTTGATGTTAGATCAATTATTGCTCGCATTGTTGATGGAAGTGAATTTGATGAATTCAAGAAACTGTATGGCACTGTGAGGCCCTTTTATTCCTTAACAACTCACAACTGTCTCTAATTTGTTTTCTACTAGTCATTCATTTGTTTTCTGAATGTGCTTGTTGACACATACAGACACTTGTGACTGGCTTTGGAAGAATTTGTGGACAGCCAGTAGGGATCCTTGGAAACAATGGGATACTGTTTAATGAATCTGCTCAGAAAGGGGCACACTTTATTGAATTATGTGCTCAACGTAACATTCCTCTGATCTTTCTTCAGAATATTACTGGATTTATGGTAAGCATTATAGTGTTCTCCTTCTGTGATATAAATGTTTGATACAATTTGCTTTAATCAATTGCTATTAACAACTATAATGAGGAGGAAAAACAAATAAACTTAATTCAACCAGCTCAACTTCCTCATGACAGTTTGAAGTAGTTGATTAGTCATATGGAGGTGGGTTGCTCTAGCGGTGAGCACCCTCCACTTCCACCTAGAGGTTGTGAGTTCGCGTCACCCCAAGAGCAACGTGGGGAGTTCTTGGAGGGAGGGAGCCGAGGGTCTATTGGAAACAGCCTCTCTACCCCAGGGTAGGGGTAAGGTCTGCGTACACGCTACCCTCCCCAGACCCCACTAGTGGGATTATACTGGATTGTTGTTGTTGTTGTTGATTAGTCATATGGAATAACTACTTATTGATATCCCATAGATGGATTTATGGTACATCTCGAAACACTTTATGATGAATTGTTAAGCGAATCTTGCAAGGCTTTAGCAATCTTGTAGAAAGATTCATCAAAATATTTGTTCTTTTTACATGACCTGTCAGTTTTTTAGCCTATGTACCTCTAAGCCATGTTTCACATGTGATTTGAAAGCCATTACTTCCTACAAAAGAACAAAAGGAACAGAACCAGAAAAAAGGATAATTAATCCAAAATAGAGTTAGACTGACTTATAATATTCCATCAGCATCTTGAAAGTTGAAACACATTCAGTTGGTTGCGCAAATTGAATGCTGTAAGGAGGAATATGTTGTTTTTGTGGTTTCAGGGGTATTTCTGGTTGGCATCCCACATTGGGTTTTGATTCTGAAATCTGAATGTGCTTATTAGCCATGTTTTACTTGGAGATTTTCATTTGGATACAGACTATGTCATGAAAATAAGGTAATGATGTTCATTAATTTGGTAGGTTGGGTCCAAATCTGAGGCAAGTGGTATTGCCAAAGCTGGAGCTAAAATGGTGATGGCAGTCTCTTGTGCGAAGGTAAGCTTTAACTTAGAAAATGTCATAAAATTCGAATTTCTTTTGGCCTTTGAACTCAAGCTGGTAAAGCATCATCAGAACTACATTTTCTGGCGCTCCAAGTCTTCATAGAAACTTCCCACACTCTATGATTCAATTTATCAGTAGTTTACTTTGATCATTTAAGCTTTCCTTTTCTTTTATACTAATGATCTCATTTTCACTAGTGAGGAATATACTGAAGAAACTAACGTCTCTTGCAAATATATGGAATCAGGTTCCCAAGATCACGGTAGTTATCGGTGGAAGCTTTGGAGCTGGCAACTATGCAATGTGCGGACGTGCATATAGTCCCAATTTCATGTTCTTCTGGCCAAATGCTCGAATATCTGTAATGGGAGGTCCACAGGTATATGCTCTTCAGTGACACATTACTTCCAACAAACTCAGTATTTATATGCAGGGTGACAATTTTTTACTTTCACTAGCACAGCTCATTTTTACCCAAATGATTTTCGCTAGATGCATTTCCTTTGTTACGTTCTTTGTGTTGCTCGAATGGAATTAAAAAATTATGCTTATCTGCAAAAGCATTTTCCCCTTTCTAAATTCTGATTATATTGCTATGCCTAGTAAATTTTTGTTACTTGTCGAGGAATCTTGTAATTCTCATTTTTAATCATGGATTAATAAGGCTGCTGGAGTCCTTGCTCAAGTAGAAAAGGCCACCAAGAAAAAGAAGGGAATTCAGGTAAAGACATTGGCGCCTATAATTCTAGAGATCATTTTGATTGTGTCCAGTAATTGACATGAATGTGTTGCAGTGGGCAAAGGAAGAGGAGGAAAAGTTCAAGGCAGAAGTTGTAGAGGCGTATGACAGAGAGGGCAGCCCATATTATGCCACAGCAAGGCTTTGGGACGATGGCATAATCGATCCAGCAGACACGAGAAAAATATTGAGCCTGTGCATCTCTGCTTCCTTGAATCGTGGACCAGAAACTACGAAATTTGGTGTCTTCAGAATGTGACATGCGAGCTCTAGCTGAAGAATGAAGTTGCTGTCCGAGACTTGTTGCTTTGTCTCCAACAGCAGAAACACTATCTGCATAATCAGCTAGGTTACAAGAAGTTCTAAGTCGTGAAAGCAGACTTATATTGGTTCCATGCCAAGGATGAGAAACTCCATGATTTACATAAAAAGAAGTTATATATAGGTAGCACTTTAGGTTGAGCGTGCAGTCGTAGTCTGATGAAGCTATGTTTCTTTGTTATTATTCTTGGTTCTAGGAGCTAATAACTGTGGGTCTGTGACTGCTGCTAATGTTATTGACTGCATAAAGTGTAAATGAGAAACGCTTGATACTAAAGTGCCTACAAGAAACATGGAGCGAAGATAAGCTTAATCCCTTCAATTTTCATGCTTCAATGATCATAACGAATTTAATTTCATAATAAAATTTATCAAAATTGAAGAGAAGACCTTAAGATTAATGTGAAGCACAGTAGTTAGAGCCGAATTAATTGTACTTGGGAGAAAAAAGAGTCAAGGGCAATTAGCGTAAAATGTTTTATCAGCGCCCGTGGCCTAATGGATAAGGCGTCTGACTTCTAATCAGGCGATTGTGGGTTCGAGTCCCACCGGGCGTGTGTAGGCCGCAAATGACGTCCATTGGCACCTCCTTGAATATTTTTTTTTGATTTATTTTCATTTTAATTTTTTAAAGTTTTCTTCGCCAAAGAGAAATCATTATAAAAAAGAAAGAAGATGAGGTTAGATGGAAGTGCCAACACTGCAAATACGAAAACTGCCAAAGTAGAAATACGATTAGAAAACGATATTTGTTTTTCCAGGTTTGGTGGTGATATCCCATAAGGCCATAACCCCACAAATCGACAAACACGAGTTTTGAAAAACCAATATAGGTCAGTGAGCAGTTGCAGTCACTATCAGCGTTCCATGATTAATCACGTTTTTCTGACTTCAATTTTAACTTGCCAATTGCCGCACTCAATCAGTTAATAAAAACTTTCCTATTTGAAATATTCGTTAATTATTAAGAAAATTGATGAATATTTTAATTGATAATTTAAATAGTAGTAATTTTTTAAAAAATATTTAACCTTTTTCAATTAAATTTCATTTCGTAGTGGTGGAAAAAAAGGTATACTTGAAATCAAATATCCTTTTATTTGAACTTTAACCAAATATTGTCCTGATACTAAGCTAGCGTTTGAACATAAATTCGATTGAAACTTGAAAAAAGAGGTTTTGAAGTTGTGTTGAAAAATAATTTTTAAAAGTGGTAATTGTATTTGGACATGCATTTCATTTTGAAAACTGTCCTAAACCAGTTTTTAGGAACTTTGAAAAGTTTTGATTTTTTTTCCCCAAAACATGATCATCTACATCAAATTATCTGCAAAGTTTCCCCTCTGAAATAAAGGAACGCGCAGAGTACGTGACTGGCTCATACTACTAGAAATTTAGACAGATCTCTGCGTTTGCAAAATGGCTGCGAGTGCGCACTGTGCTACTCCTTACTCCAACGCTCCCTTTTCTCTCTCACGTCCCTCATCTCTCAAATATCACCAGCTCTGTAACTTGCCGTACAAGCATAAACAGCACCACAATGTTCAATTCGGTTTCTCATTTGAGCACAAGAAGGGCTTCGGAATCTGGAAATCCTCTTCCCCGTCTCCTCTACGCGTCTCCTGTCTCCGCACCAAAGGTAAATACCTAATATCTTATGTTTATCTTTCTCTGGATACGTACTTTTTTACTTTGTTGTTATGCTGGTGAAAATCTGAGTGAATCGAGTTTTTATACGCCGATTTCAAGTTGATAGTTGTGATTATTGTACTCATTTTATTTTAGTGTTCATCGATTTTTAAATATAAAGAAAATGCTCCGATCCGGTCTAAGAGTAGGTCCTCAGGATTAAGCATTAATGGAGAATTAATCGAATCGCTCTCGGATCATGATTGCTTTTCTTATGGTTTAAAGTAGTTTCTACATTTGTTGAACTCCTCTTTGTGTGTGTGTGTTGTCTAAGCTACAGGATGTCGAATACTCTGAAAGTTCGGTAAAATGGAATTAAATTACTTTCCGTTCGTGGATCTCTACTTGGTACTAGATCTCAGGGCAATTATTTCTTCCTCATTACTGACATGATCCACTATTTTCAAATCTTATGAAATATCACGGTGTTACTTATTTCATCCATTGGTATTAGTGAGAAATACAATTAATTGCACTCACTCTGGTTAAGTGACTGGCTTTTGCGGAGATTATCCTCATTCAAAAATTTTCATGTTAGAATTAAGTAGATTTTAGTAATTGTTTCCCTAACCAAGATATAGCTATTGGATAAACAAGCAAGTAAAAGAGAAATCTATTTCTAGGATACTGACATTGAACATTTTCCATTTGGCTTGATATGTCTTAGCCTGGTCCTATTTGGTAACACTTCTTCTTTTCTGGTTTCCTGAAATTATATGGATTAGATTTATTCATCAATTAAAAAAGTAGATTCTCCTGCAAAGAAATTTGAACTCCACCATTAAGAAGTACTTAGAGAAGGATCTAGACGGAAATATTTATTCCTACCTATAAATTGGAATGCTTTTATGTGCTAAAAAATTAAAAAAAAGAGCATGAAATTTGGGGCAAAGAGAACTCCACCGTGTCCAAGGGTTCTCATGTTTCTATTTCTCCATATTGTCTGTGCCATTTTATGTGGTATTACTTTTCAAACTCCGTGTCCACTTCTTGTAATTCCACTCCAGCTGCACAAAAGGTTCTTCATTATGCCTGGAGTATCCAGCATTCCAACTGAATGTTATCTGTTGTCTTAGCATGCTAGTTGGATTGGGAACTATTTTGAGGAATGCTTTGTATGTTTCCTCTTGCTGAAATACTTGCATCACTATCTAAATTATCTCAGGCTCTATGTGTAAATGCAAGTGATTTAAAATCTTCAGTATAAAAAGTATCATCAAATCCTATTTTGCATGTGGAGATATTAATGAGTTGCTACTAACGTTTTATCCCTGCAAGGTCGAAAACTAATCTGTTTTGTTTATCCTAAATGGATGTCAAACGACATTTGTTGCTATGCTTTTAGGTTTGAGGACTAAACTCCTACCAGAGAACAACCATAAGAAAAAAGACGAGATCTTTGAGGTCTAGGCGCATCTTCTTTGGAGCTCAAGAATCTCTTAACTGAAACACCTTAAAATGTGCTTTATCACAGTTTAAATGTTTCCATTTCAAACTTCTCATTTCTACTGTCTGGTTGAAAAAGATTTGTATGGTTATAAGGTGGCAGTCAAACATATTTTGGTCTCTTGCATCGTTTTGTTACATTATCAGTTATGTTCTATCTGGGCTTTTTTTCTTTGTTTCTGGATATGTTTAGTTTTCTAGAATCTTTTTTCCTTTTTCGGATATGTTTAGTTTTGTTAAAATGCGTTTAGTTGAACTTACCCTTAGTGGTCTACCTTGGAAAGCTAAGTGCTCAGTTGCAAAAGTAGTCTGTATCCCTGAGAATTGGAATCTCTGGAGGGATTAAAGAGATTCAGTATGTCGAGATCATACTGCAATTATACTTGCAATAATACTATGTAGAGAAGGTTGACGTAATTATTTTTCACAATGATATGCATTTGTTATACTTGCATTACCTATCAAAAGTTGTTATGCTTTTGTTAAATTCTGTCGCAAGGAGCAGAAAAATGTTCATATGTCATCCATTCTTCGTTATGCAACATGTCCAGTACATTAGGCAATGTGTTTGAATATGGTTGTAAGGGTTTTGGCTCATTAGTGTGTGGGAAAATGGATTGTTTATGGATTAATATATGAAGCATGTTTTTGGTAGGTAATTGATCCAAGTTGATTTTGGAAAGTTTATGCTAACAATTGTTTCCTAACTTGTAATGTGCAGCTGAAGTTGTCACTGCTGAGTCATGGGAGAAATTGATTCTGAGCAGTGATATTCCTGTTCTTGTTGAATTTCATGCCACTTGGTGTGGCCCCTGCCAGATGGTTCACCGAGTAATTGATGAGATTGCAGCTGAGTATTCAGGGAGATTAAAATGCTACGTACTCGATGCAGATAGTGAACCGCAAATTGCTGAGGACTATGATATCAAGGCTGTTCCTGTGGTCTTACTGTTCAAGAATGGGGAGAAATGCGACTCTGTCATCGGAACAATGCCCAAGGAGTTCTATGTGGCTTCGATTGAAAGACTTTTAGATTCTTAGATGTAATTCCCTCCACTAAAAAGACCGTCATAATAGCATGGCAAGTTCAACACACAAACTTAATAACTCTCTTTTGAATTCTCTTCCCCTCTAATGTCTTGTAATATTCTATGCATTTGCTTTTTGAATTGTTATTTCTCTGTGAATTGCGGGCTCTTTTTTCCTTTTCCATATTAAGAAGAATCATTGGCTCTGCATGAAATCACTTCTTGCCACTTTCTTCACAATGAAATTTGTATAGGGTCGGTGAACTTGTGAATAGTAACTGCATTTGTTTACTTAAAACATGTCTTTTTGTTGTTGCTGTGACTTGTGAGTTATGTTTGACCAATAAGTGTTAAGCCTTTTTGTTAAACTAACTAAATAAACGGAAAATATATTTGGCCAAACTAAGAATGGCCCAAATGTCCAGAAGGGGGTATTATGGTAACTTCGCACGGCTTTTGAGAGCATAATGGATATTTAAGCATTTTCGTTTTCCAGATATACCCTTTAGCAGATTTGTTTTTTAATTTAATTTTTTCCCCCCAATTCTCTCTCATTAGTTTAGTTGTCTTACCTTCCCCATGCTTCTTTCACATTTACACATGCATGCTACACTATTTTTCATAAAGCAATTTATACTCATATGCATATACTATACCAATTAAATGAAATAAACTAAAATATACGCATAGTATACTAAAAAAATACGATTAAACTACTGTATTATAGTTTCTATATTACTGTATCACTAAAATAATATTTTATTACTTTCTAACCCTAACACTTAAATATATAGTGCTTCAACTAAGAAGCCACTACAACAAATGTGATTTTCAACCACAAAAATATTAGCTACAATAGAAAATTTGTCACTAATTATCCATTTTTTGTGACTAAAATTATATTTCGTACTTAAATACATGAGGCACATACTTTTAGTGACAAAACATAAATTTTATAGCAAAATTTGTCTACTAAAGTTTCCCACAAAAAAATGAATTGGCGCCAAATATTAATTAATATTAGCCACAAAATTAATATTATTGGTGATAAATTAGTTTCGTCACTAATGTTGTAGACAATTGGTGACAAATAATTGTTCGTCTTAAAATTAGTTATATTTACGCTACGAAATAGTTTCCTCACTAAAAGTTTTATATTTTTTGCAACCTTAGTTTTTGTCACTAATAGCATAAACAAATTAGTGACGATCGGTGTATCATCTCTATTTTACCTATGAAATTATTAGGTAGCATAAAAAGTTCATCACTGTGGTTATGTTTTTGGAACAAAAAATAGAGTCGTACTTAAATGCACACGCACATACATTTAGTGAAGAAACAAAAATTTCGTAGCGATAGTTTTATCTACTCAAGTTTTCCACCACAAAAATAGATTGTCGCTAGTTATTTAGTAACATTAGTCACAATATCTAAACTTAGTGGTGACAAACTAGTTTCATCTCTAATATTGTAGGCAACTAGTGAAAATTATTATTTGTCTAAAATTAGTTATATTTTAGCGGTGAAAAAGCTTGGTGACTAAGAGGGTGTTTGGCTAAGCTTATAAGCTGGTCCACTTCCCAGTAGGACTTAAAGTCTCTTTGTAGAGTCCCTATGCAACCGTTACACTTCCCAGTAGCCATATCCGCTCCTCCATGCGGACATTACACATCCTAGCAGCCCCTTCCACTCCTCCATGCATCTATTACACTTCCCAGTAGTCCCTTCCACTCCTTCATGCAACCTTTACACTTTCCAGTAGTCAATTTCACTCCTCTATGCACCATTGCACTCCTCCATTCATCCATTATTCTCCTTCATGACTATAATTAATTATAGAAGCTTGTCTTTATCCATCCGCCTATACAGATTTTGGATTTTTTTTAACTTCTGTCATATAGTGGCAGTGCACTTTACATATTTTGGATTATTTTTTTAAAATTTTTTACACTTCTACCATATAGTGAGAGTGCACTTCATAGGTTTTATCTCATAGTCTTAACCTTCATCTTGGTGGTTGAATTCTAATTAATAACGGATCGGTCTCCAAAATTTTGTAGTAGTAAATACAATTTTTGATTTTTCGTGTTGATTTTTCCACTTCTCTATGAGCAAAGTAATGTCGATTTTTAAACTTTAAAAAAAATAATCTTTCTAGTTTTGTTCTTGGTTGTAAAATAATAGAAAAAAATAGGGGGACTTCTGCACTAAATATATTGTTAAATGATTTCTCAATTTTAATTGGCTATTTTTAAACCAAGTCTTCTTAAAATAAATAAATATAACAATAATAAATGGAAAAAACACAAACAATATTATAAAGAACAATCATATTAATCCATTACTTTGATCCACTTGAAGTTAGTAAATATAACTAAAGAGAAGAAATTATCAAGCTAAACATTAGTTTATCCTAATACTTCAACAGAGAAGATCACAGCCCCTGATGTAGCCTGAACTAGTTCCAAGAGAAGAACACTCTCTTTCTTCAGATTATTGTCGACAATAAATTATTTTCACCATTAACGAGTCTTCTCCGAACACCACTTGTGAAAGTCACAGCCCATTCCTTCCCATTATATCGAAGCATTATTTTAACCGAAATAGGAGGAAGATAGCCAAAAATACTCTTTGGAAGAAACTGCAAGAACATAATGTAAAGATAAAGTTCATGCTTCATTGCTAGTTGGGATAATCAACAATTATCAAATCATGAAAATATTATAAAAAAATTACCACATAATCACGCTTGATGTACCAAATGGGCACGTCCATCCGAAACCATGGATAGAATTCATCTTCAATCCATCCTCTAGCATTCATGTTTAGAGTATCTATTTTGTTTAAAGAGTTGGAAATGTTGTTCTTGTGTTTAAGAGATATATAAAGACTCAAAACTTTCTATTTCCCTCCAATCATATTTTTACTTTTCCCTTGTTTCCCTCCGAAAATTGTATTTGACATTTTAGTCCAAAATGTCATCTTGTTTCCCTCCTAATAAAGTTCTAAAATTTAATCATGATTTTTCTTTTATTATAATTAAGATATTTGGTGAAGATTATTACAATTAAGACTAACCAATAAAAATATGTCGAATTATATATTTGCTATTATATAAACAAGGTCATACTAGTGAATAGACTTATATGGTTGCTATAGGCAGATATGTATGAAATTAATATAAACGGCTATTATATAAACGGTCGATATTACTAAGAATCACAACGATATAATTAGCATAGGTTATACGACTCCAACTATATAGTGAATGGACTTATATGGTTGCTATATGCCGATATGTATGAAATTAATATAAACGGTCGATATTACTAAGAATCACAACGATATAATTATCATAGGTTATATGACTACAACCATATTAGTCAATGGACTTATATGGTTGCTATAGGCCGATATATATGAAATTAATATAAACGGCTATTATATAAACGGTCGATATTACTAAGAATCACAACGATATAATTAGGATAGGTTATACGACTCCAACTATATTACTTATGGACTTATATGGTTCCTATATGCCGATATGTATGAAACTAATATAAACGGCTATTATATAAACGGTCAAGATTACTAAGAATCACAACGATATAATTACCATAGGTTATATGACTTCAACCATATTAGTGAATGGACTTATATGGTTGCTATAGGCCGATATGTATGAAATTAAGATAAACGGCTATTATATAAACGATCGATATTACCAAGAATCACAATGATATAATTAGCATAGGTTATATGACTACAACCATATTAGGGAATGGACTTATTTGGTTGCTATAGGCCGATATATATGATATTAATATAAACGGCTATTATATAAACGGTCGATATTACTAAGAATCACAACGATATAATTAGCATAGGTTATACGACTCCAACTATATTAGTGAATGGACTTATATGGTTCCTATATGCCGATATGTATGAAATTAATATAAACGGCTATTATATAAACGGTGAAGATTACTAAGAATCACAACAATATAATTAGCATAGGTTATATGACTACAATTATATTAGTGAATGGACTTATATGGTTGCTATAGGCCGATATGTATGAAATTAATATAAACGGCTATTATATAAATGGTCGATATTACTAAGAATCACAACGATATAACTATCATAGGTTATATGACTACAACCATATTAGTGAATGGACTTATATGGTTGCTATAGGCCGATATGTATGAAATTAATATAAACGGCTATTATATAAACGATCGATATTACTAAGAATCACAACGATATAATTACCATAGGTTATATGACTATAACCATATTAGTGAATGGACTTATATGGTTGCTATATGCCGATATGTATGAAATTAATATAAACGACTATTATATAAACGCTCGATATTACTAAGAATCACAACGATATAATTAGCATAGGTTATATGACTACAACCATATTAGTGAATGAACTTATATGATTGCTATAGGCCGATATGTATGAAATTAATATAAACGGCTATTATATAAACGGTCGATATTACCAAGAATCACAACGATATAATTACCTTTGGTTATATGACTTCAACCATATTAGTCAATGGACTTATATGGTTGCTATAAGCCCAATACGTATGACCATAATGAATTAACTTATATAAACGACTATTATATAAACGGCCGATATTACTAAGAATCAAAACGATATAATTACCATAGGTTATATGACTATAACCATATTAGTGAATGGACTTATATGGTTGCTATATGCCGATATGTATGAAATTAATATAAACGACTATTATATAAAGTGTCGATATTACTAAGAATCATAATGATATAATTAGCATAGGTTATATGACTACAACCATATTAGTGAATGAACTTATATGATTGCTATAGGCCGATATGTATGAAATTAATATAAACAACTATTATATAAACGGACGATATTACTAAAAATCCCAACGATATAATTATCATAGGTTTATGACTACAACCATATTAGTGAATGGACTTATATGGTTGCTACAGGCTGATATGTATGAAATTAAGACAAACGGCTATTATATAAACGATCGATATTACCAAGAATCACAATGATATAATTACCATAGGTTATATGACTTCTACCATATTAGTCAATGGACTTATATGGTTTCTATAGTCCATACGTGTGACCATAATGAATTAAAATATATAAGCGGCTATTATATAAACGGTAGATATTACTAAGAATCACAACGATATAATTATCATAGGTTATATGACTTCAAACATATTAGTCAGTGGACTTATATGGTTGTTATAGGCCGATACGTATGACCATAATGATTGAAATTAATATAACCGCCTATTATATAAACGGTCGATATTATTATGAATCACAACTATATAATTAGCATAGGTTATATGACTACAACCATATTAGTCAATGGACTTATATGGTTGCTATAGGCCGATACGTATGAGCTTAATGAATGAAATTATATAGACGACTATTATACAAGCGACCGATATTACTATGAATCACAACGATATAATTAGCATATGTTATATGACTACAACCATATTAGTCAATGGACTTATATGGTTTCTATAGGCCGATATGTATGAAATTAATATAAATGGCTATTATATAAACGGCTATTATATAAACGGCTATTTGACAACTACCTCATCAACGTGCTATATCTTTTTTGTATCTTTTTTTTGGTTTTTTCTTCAAAGAATATGCATTATTCTTTGAATATTCGTAAAAATATTGTCCAAGTACATATTCTTTGAACAGAAAGCTAAAAAAAGATACATAAAAATTTTTACGAATATTTTTAAGATACAAAAATACATTGAAACATTATTCTTTAATGTATGTTTTATTTTCCATGTTTAATGGCTCCAAACTAGTTTCTAGGTTAACATTCATATTTAGGTTAGGGGGAAGGGTGGTGATATATGCGTTTAATGAAGGCTTTCTTAACATAAGTGTATGGTATAAGTTTGTATACCGTAAAAAAAAATAATATTATGTATAGATACTAGACTTTTGATCTTCCCATCGTATAAATTGTATTTTTTTTAAAATACGTAATAGTATAGGTATACATATACGAAGGCTTTTGATCTTCCTATCCGTATAAATTTTATTTAAAAATAAAATAAATACGTAATAGTATAGGTATACATATGAAGTTGGTTGATCTTCGCATGAGAGAATGATGATTTATGGGACCAATGTTTTGGGATAATCAATACTTATTAACTAATTTGGAGGGAAATATTTTGGAGGGAAAAATGGCCATTAAGCCAAATATGAAATGAAGGGCTTTAGTGATATTTCACCAGTGTGGTCATTTTTGGGCCACGCTGAGTTTGGCCAAATAGCAGCTCTCATATGTTTAATGTATAAGATTCTGCTAAATGTCAAATTGTAAAATAGATCATGATACACTTGACCAAAAAAAAAAAAGAAGAATTATGATACACAACAATCTAACTACATTTTAATTTTTTCATCAAAAATTAAATACGTGATTGGAATTTTATAGTGTCTACTAAAGTCGTGCCCGTCGAAGTCATTAAGGTTTGACTTGGTCTACGACATGATCGGTGTAGCCGAAGAACGCACCAATGGCAAGCGGGAGAATGAGGACCATCGAATCGAGGGCATGAAGGCTATAACATAGAGTTGGAGGCATTATTTCTGGGACATTCAGAAATACCATCCCATTCAAGAAGCCCCTACTTATACCCCTGCTCCCTTCTATCCTTGATGGGCTTTATTTGACAATTAGCTGGAAGTCGGGTATGCCTATTCAACAAAAACTAAGGCGCTGGGGTAGCTTCCACTGCCCGAGGCCTCCAGAAAGAAGGCATTCTTTTGCATTGCACTTCTTCATGTCTCGGTTCACCGTCGTCTTTTGGATTTCATCTCCTATAAAAATAACAAGTGGTTGGCCGTTCGGTCGAGTCCATCTCTTGAAGTCGTACCCTCCAAGTATGCGTGAGTCTTCAGCCGATTAACAGAAATGTTAGCCGGAATTCGAGAACGGTCCATCCTACCATAATGGATCTCTCCTACCGCAAAAAGACCTGAACTAATTACTCGCTCAATGTGCATTAAAATTCTAATGAATGCCTTATTTAGCATCTTTGAGGTCCAGTTGGGTCATTCCACTCGCACTACTAGTGTCCAGTCCCCTTTTGCTATTGTCACTACTGGTACCTGACCTCGTCGGCTCGACATTTTTGCAAACTGCGATGATGTGTCATACATATCATAACTTATTCTTGTCGTACCTGCTACCAACCCTCCACTACATATAACATCCCAAAAATCCAAGTTGCACAATAGGCAACAACCTAAAAATTTTGGGAGTCAACTAATAGTCACTAAACTTCTAGGGGCAAATTGCAATCTCACGCAAGTATCGATATCACCCTACTTTGACCATTCACTATATCACAATTTCAAATTCGTCTCTGTAAATCCTCAGCTATCAGCAGAATCTCACACAGAGAAATAACAGCAAAAGATTAGAGACGCAAATTAGAAGATGAACGAGAAAACTAACATCGTTTATTTACAGTATGTTTTTTATTTGAACACACATTACATAGAATAATGAACTTATTCCCTCACTAACGAATCATGCAAAAGTCTTCACACCCATAACAAAACAACAACTATTACTACGACTATTTCTCAATCCCAAATGAGTTGAGATCGAGCGGCGACCATAAAATCACCAAGTGGAAGTTATATATTTTTTTCCTTTATCATCTTCCAAGAAAAATCCTATATCCGTCACTGACCATCTACATAGACGAGTCTGACCATCAAGCTGTGAATCTTTAATACATCCATGTAAAGCATTAAACACTTCAAAAGCTTTATCTTTTGAACCCCACCAAAAGTGACAAAAATAAAGAGTGTTAGACAAAACTTGCTCACGAAATGACCATTCTATTTGGCCATCTTTAACAAGGTCATGGAATCCAATATCATCATTTTTAGAAGCACAATGAACTCTTAATATAGGTGAGTTTATAGGAAGGGAATTCACAACTTGAACATGGAATTTTTTTGTAACAAAAAAATCTTTTAGTTTGTTGCTTCTTACTTGTAAAATATTTATGGACAATATGAATAGTAGGAGAGTTGCTTTGATGTTGGAATAACTCATATTGAGAATGAATGGTAATGAGAATTTCCAAAGGAATTCACAATCTAACCACTTTTTTTGTTTTTGGGAGCAAGAAGTGGTTAGATTTTTTTGTTTTCCGAAGGAAATTGTTAGCTTACATTCCTTTGTTGTTGGTACTTGAATTTATAATGCAAAATTAAGGCACTCATAGTTGCAATGAATGGTAATGAGAATTTCAATGAAGAACGTGAATTATGTACGGAACGCCATAAAAAATGTGAGGATTTTTTCTTCTTATTTTTGTAACCAGTCGATAACCCGTGCGCTGCGTAGGGCAGTTCTTTTTAGTGACGTGTAGATATTTGTTATAGTTTGGACGTTATGGTTTGTAGGAATAATACTGTTAATATTATCAGTAGTAACATGCTAGACCTTACCCCTATCTTATGAAGGTATAAAAGTTGTTTTCAATAGACTTCTGACTTAAGGTAAAAGTGAAAAATTAAGAAGCAGACACAACAAGTAACAATAGTAAGATAAGGCGACAAGGTGATAGAATAATCAAAGCCAAAAAACCTACATATAGTAAAAAAATCTATGGATAACAAGGTACAAAAATATGAGACTAATACTAATGCTACCGACATCCAAAGGAGACCCTCCCGCCTATCTATTAATCTTCTACCCTAATTCTCAACCTCCACACCCTGCTATCAAGAGTCATGTCCTCAGTAAGCTAAAGTTGCGTTATGTCATGCCTAATCACCTCTCCCCGTATAAACAATCAAATTGTGCATGAGGTAAATGAATTCATAATATATTACTCTATATCATGTTATTTTATCTTGATTAAGTGATGAATTAAGATGAATCGTAATTGAATTTATGCTTTTAGGGGCTCTTTTTCAAGGCGTGAGTCACAATCCTATTTTATCAATCTCAATGTTGAAAAAATTACTATAATAATTATCTGAAATTAATTATATATTTAGTCAAAGTCAACTTGTCTCTTACAGTTTCCTAAAGGTCGGTCATAGGCGTTCAGTAAATTAAAGTGATTAGTTGATGTCTCCACTTATCTACCAGGAAGAATATTATTTGTTTTAAGATCATTGTGGCAGTTATTCTAGCAAGACTTTTAATAATAAAAGTTAGAATAATGTATAGTTTATTGCATCGAGGTCACCTTTAATTTTTTAGTGAAAAATCTTAATAGGCGTTTCCCTTTACTTTTAGCTAAAGATGACAACAACGTACCTATTCATCTTACTGCTAATTTTTATTTTTAATCCTTATATATTAGATAGAGTATTTATTTATTCAAACAATTACTATATAAAGAAAGAGTAAGATATATACATTTCGATAGATTTTGTAAGACAAATATATTGTTGGAAATAAAGTTATTGAGTTCGGTCGAAGGCACTCTAGTTCCGCTTCCCTAATAATATAAAAATTCTTTACAATACGACCCGTGTATATAATTTAAAACTCATTTAAAAAAAAAGTCAACAACAAACATTGACTAAAATATTTTTAAATGAGAGTGAAAGTGAAATAAAACTTATCTTGGAAGTTGCCATGTTCCCTAAGAAATACACATAAATACTACAACAAGTGAGCTTTTCATTATTCAACTTTCCACTGAATCCAGCTTTCGAAATGGAAACAGTGAAGTTAATAGGGACTCCTTTCAGTTTTTTCACATACAGAGTTATTTGGGCACTAAAGCTAAAAGGAATAACTTATGAATACATAGAAGAAGACATGTCCAAGAAAAGTCCTTTGCTTCTGAAATACAATCCAATTCACAAGAAAGTTCCTGTGCTAATCCATGGTGAAAAGTCAGTCTGTGAATCCCTGGTCATCGTCGAATACATCGACGAGACATGGCCACTGAATCCATTGCTTTCGGCTGATCCCTATGACAGAGCCGTGGCTCGGTTTTGGGCTAAATATGTTGACGATAAGGTATGATGTTATTAAGATCTACATTCTTTTCCTTCTACTTTCTCTAGCAAAATTGTAATTTCACACTATCTAGGGTGCGATGAGATGATTGAGATTCGTCTACCTTTAACTAAAGGCCTTGGATTTAAGTTTTGAGAAAGAGGATCTTTCTATTTACTAGCTCAAATTAGTCAGACCATTGAGCTTTAAATATCGGAAAAAAATTATAGTTTCATCCCTTTTTATACAAGCTAGGAGAAAGAACTACTAGTGCAACAACCCGTGGCGACTAAAGGATTTTCGCTAAGTGGGTTCAAAAAGAAAAAAATTAAAACATTAAAAGGAACTGTAGCCAGTAAAAATTGAACCGCCAGCAATCGAAAAAAATCTACCTCTAACAACAACATCAGTAACAACAACATACCCAGTAAAATTAGAATCTGCAGAGTACCCTTACATTTTTACAGATAGAGATGTTGTTTTCGATAGACCCTCGGCTCAAGACGAGCACAGTCACATAAAAGAATTACGTACTAGTGCATTTAACTAAAATGCAGAAACAAATGCATTTGTTTCTCTTTCTTTCCTTTCAAATACTTGACAAAGGATTTTAATTTGTGCTGCAGTCATATAATACCTGGAATGTGTTTTGCAACACTGGAGAGAAGCAACAAAATGCCATAAAAGAGAGCTTGGAAATGCTCAAAGCTATAGAGGAAAATGCTTTGGGAGAAAAGAAGTTATTTGGTGGTGAAAATATTGGGCTTGTGGACATAGCCTTTGGAGGGTATGCTCAATGGATGAAGATTATAGAAGATATTGTGGGAGTTAAGTTACTTGATTCTCAAAATTTTCCTCGTCTCAACACATGGATCAAGAATTTCAAAGATGTTCCAGCAATCAAAGAGAACCTCCCTGATCGTGATGAGATGTTTGTTTATATGAAGAATGCTAGGGACAAGATGTTAGCATCTCCATAAGGAGATTTCTCATATGTTGACTCAATCAACTATGCTTCAATCTCTATATATGAATTTTCGGTATCCATTTCGTTATGTGTAATTGTCAAATTAATTATGTATAAGATGTTACCACATTACCAATCACCGTAAGGAGATTTTTTTAACAGTAAAATCTCGACCAACTATCTTCATTGTTGATTCAATCAACTAGGCTTCAATCTTTATATGAATCGTGTGTATCCATTTTGTCTTGTTCAGTCGTTAATCAGCAATGCTGCAATCCCTATATGTTGTGATATAGGGTAAATTGTACGGGCCAATTTGTAATTAGAGAAAGTTAGAGGGTAACAAATTAGTCGGTTAAGAGGTAGTTAACACTGTTCTTATGTTAGCTACAACAGAAACAAGAAACTCTCTAGAACTTTCCTCCATTGTAGATCCATTTCATGCATGTTTCAATTACTGGAGATTTACATAGAATTTGTGTAAATTGATATGGTATCAGAGTAGCGAGACTGAGGACGTTAGCTCCGACGAAAAGTTCCGGCGAGTCAGCTAAAGTTTGGAGAAATTCACCGGAGACGAAGCAGAATTTCAGATCGACATGGCAGGAAACGAGGTAACCTCACTCGAACACAATCATCCTCTATTTCTTCAAGCAGCAGATGCACCAGGTCTAGTTTTAGTTCCAATTAAACTCATGGGGCCAGAAAATTATGCCCTGTGGAGTAGGGCAATGAAACTAGCACTTATGAGAAAAGGCAAGCTTGGATTTGTAGATGGAACATGTGTTAAAAGTTCGTATAGAGGAGAACTAATAGCACAATGGAAAAAAGTGATGTGGTTGTACTGTCGTGGATTGGAAGCACAGTCTCTAATGAATTGATGCCGAGCATAGTTTTTGCACCTAGTGTTGGGAAAGTATGGAGTGATTTAAGGAGAAATTTGATAGATGTAGTTTGACTAGAATATATCATCTTTGGTCAGAGATTGCTAGTCTTAAACAAGGCATTGATTCTGTGACTACTTACTATACAAAGATGTCAGATATATGGAGTGAATTAGATGTATTGGTACCTCTGCCTTCATGTGATTGTGAAGAATCGAGGCCTTCAGTAGAACATCTGAGAAATCAGAGACTTTTGACATTTCTCATGGGCCTAAATGAGAGCTATAACAATGTAAGAAGCAATGTTCTTCTCAAAAGACCAGTTGTGACTGTAAACGAAGCTTATGCTATAGTGACACAGGAGGAGAGTCAACGAACACTAGGTGTTGTTGACACAAATAGAGATCTATTGACTATGCTTGCAGGAAAAGGATAGGTTTTTAAGCCTAAGAAGTTTGGGTTGATTTGTGAACATTGTGGCTACAAGGGACATTTGAAGGAGAACTGTTATAAAATTGTTGGCTATCCAGCTGACTTTAAAAGCAAAAAGAAACCTCAGCCAGGAGGAAACAGATCTTTTGCCAATGCTGTAAGAACTGAAGAAACAGGAGGGACAAGCACTCAGCCACAAGGCCATTTCCTTACTGAAGAACAATATAAGCAGCTTATAGGGCTTCTAAACAAACAAGGAGGTGAAGAATGCTCCACAAACATGGCAGGTATTATGACTTTACTATCCAGTATTCCTTTAACTAGTTGGATAGTAGACTCTGGGACAACTCATCATATTGCTCATGATAAGAATATAATGAGTGATATAAAACAATTTGGAGGACAGGGAGTTCAATTGCCAACAGGAAATAAGGCAGAGATAATGTATACTGGAAAAACTACTATTTTAGGAGGCAAATGTATAATGAATGTACTGCATGTGCCAGATTTCAAGTTTAATTTGCTGTCAGTAGCAAAACTCACTAGAGACCTCACTTGCACAGTGAAGTTCTTCCCTGATTTTTGTGTGTTGCAGGGGCTTTACAGTGGCAAGGTATTGGGGATCGGTAGAGAGTCTGATGGTCTATACATACTAAGGAAATATGCACAAACAGCAGGCATAACAGTAGGAGCAGTAATAAAAGAAGAGCAAACACAACTTTGGCACTACAGACTAGAACATGCATCCTGAAATTCTATACAACATATATCATCTTTACAAGACAAGATATGTGCAGGAAAATCAAAAAATTGTAGTATTTGTCCTCTAGCTAAACAAAGTAGATTGCAGTTTCCTAACAGTGTAAGCAAGTCTAAAGTAGTTTTTCAGTTGGTCTATTTAAATGTGTGGGGTCCTTACAAGACACCTACATATGATAGAAAGTATTACTTTGTGACTGTGGTTGATGATTTTACTAAATACACATGGGTATGCTTGATACAATCTAAGTGTGAAGTGTGTGTTGTATTAAAGAATTTGATTGCAATAATAAAGACACAATTTGACACTGGAATCAAGACCCTGAGATCAGATAATGGCACATAATTTTTTAATGCCAAGTGTAATGAATTGCTGGCTGAAAATGGGATCATACATGAAAGTAGTTGCCCATATACTCCTCAACAAAATGGCATAGTTGAGAGAAAACATAGGCATATTCTAGATGTTGCTAGGGCACTAAAGTTTCACAGTGGAATACCTTTGAAATTCTGGGATGAATGTGTTAGGCCTGCTGTATACTTAATCAATAGACTCCCAACACCAGTGTTGCAACGCAGGACACCATATGCAATGCTCTATGGGAAGTCAGCTATCTTAGATCATTTGAGAGTGTTTGGATGTCAAAGTTTTGCTTGTAGTCTTCCTAAAGGAGACAAATTTGCTCCCAGAGCAAAGAGAGCAGTGTTTATTGGATATTCTGAGACACAAAAAGGTTATAGACTATATGATCTTGATACTCGTGTAATCTTTGTTGGCAGGGATGTCAAATTTCAGGAGTATGTTTTCCCCTTCAAACAGACTTCTAACAACCATGATGAAGAAGCATTGTTTTCAAAATATATTGAGCCTGTTTTTTATCTCAATACACCTCCCCAATATACACCATCTACCTCACAAGATGAGGAAGCCACCTTTACACCCATCCTGACAGATCCTGAAATAACATCATATGCTTCTGAGACTGTTGCTGTTAATGAAGGCCAAAATGCTCTTTCCCAAGTGGAGGAACCAGCTCCCCAAAATGACATGTTGATCAACTCACCTTCCCCTACTGCCATACCTTCACCTGCTACAATTGTTGAACATACCAGACCACACAGACAAATCAAGCAACCACTCTGGCTCAAGGACTATGTCACCACTAAACTACCAGGCAAACATATATATCCTATGTCCAATCATCTATCTTACACTCAACTTTCAACTGCATATCAGACATATCTTCAAGCTTTTTCTGCTTCAGTGGAGCCTACATCATACAAAGAAGCAGCAGTACATCCAAACAGGGTACTTGCTATGCAACAGGAAATCAAAGCTTTAGAAGACAATCATACATGGGAGATTATAAATCTTCCACCTGATAAACAGGCTATTGGATCCAAAATGGGTGTACAAAATCAAGTATAAAGCCAATGGTGAGGTTGAAAGGTTTAAAGCTCGATTGGTAGCCAAAGGCTACACACAACAGGAAGGCTTAGATTATCATGAAACTTTTTCTCCTGTTGCTAAGCTGGTGACTGTCAGAACTGTCATTGTTGTTGCAGCATCTAAAGGCTGGCCTCTTTTTCAAATGGATGTCAACAATGCGTTCCTACAAGGGGACTTATGTGAGGAAGTCTACATGCAGCTACCTCAGGGATTTCACAGTCAGGGGGAGTCTAAAGTATGTCGACTGCTTAAATCCCTCTATGGCGTAAAGCAATCCTCGAGGCAGTGGAACATCAAGTTAACACATTCACTATTACAAGCTGGTTTCACTCAGAGCTCTTATGATCATTCATTATTCACCAAAAGGGATAAGGCAGATATTGTCATTGTATTGGAATATGTGGATGATCTTCTAATATCAGGAAGTAATAGTAGTTTGATTCAGGAGGCAAAGGAGACTCTACACAGCAACTTTAAGATGAAAGACTTAGGGGAACTTAGATACTTCCTGGGAATTGAAGTGATGAGATCCAACAAAGGCATTTTACTCAATCAGAGAAAATATGCCTTGCAACTGATCTGAGAAGTTGGACTAAGTGCTTGCAAGCCAGTATCCACACCAATGGAACAAAACCACAAGCTTACCACAGTTGAGTATGACAAGCATGTTGGCAATGTCAATGATGCAGAGTTGCAGGAAGCAAGCAGCTATCAAAAGTTAATTGGCAAGCTATTGTATTTAACAATCACAAGGCCAGACATATCCTTTGCAGTCCAAGTGTTAAGCTAGTTCATGTAACATCCTAAAGAGTCACATATGGAAGCAACTCTAAGGGTTGTCAAATATGTTAAAGGGAGGCCAGGTCTGGAAATTCTACTAAAGGGTGGAGCCACTGATGAGCTCACAGCATACTGTGACTCAGATTGGCAGCTTGCCCAAATACTAGGAGGTCAGTGACAGGTTATGTGGTGAAACTAGGTGATTCTCTACTGTCCTGGAAATCCAAGAAGCAGCAAACTGTTAGTAGAAGCTCTGCAGAAGCAGGATACAAAAACATGGCAGCAGCTGTAGCAGAGCGCATGTGGATGAAGGGTCTGTTGGAAGAATTGGGAAACAAAGTGAAGGAACCTATACATCTACATTGTGACAGTAAGGCAGCATTAGCAACAAATCCAATTTTTCATGAAAGAACAAAGCACATAGAAATCAACTGTCATTTTGTAAGGGAAAAGATCAAGGAAGGAATGATTACAACTAACTACATTACCACAAAGCAACAGATGGCAGATTTAGTGACAAAAGGACTTGGAGCAGCCCAGCACAAGTTACCCTTGGACAAGTTAGGAGTGCTCGATGTATTCCACCCTCCAGCTTGAGGGGGAGTGTTGTGATATAGGGTAAATTGTAGGGGTCAATTTGTAATTAGAGAAAGTTAGAGGGTAACAAATTAGTCGGTTAAGAGGTAGTTAACACTGTTCTATATAAGAACAGTGTACTCATACGTTAGCTACAACAGAAATAAGAAAATCTTCTTCTTCCTTCCCTCTAGAATTTTCCTCCATTGTAGATCCATTTCATTGCATGTTTCAATTACTGGAGATTTACATAGAATATGTGTAAATTGACACTATATGAATTCTCTGTTAAGCTAATACGAACATAGTGTTTCGACTTCGAGTCACTGCCACCTACAAAATCAAGATATATTTCATGAAAAAAAGAAGCTTCTATTACATCAGTTTATCGCTGTCTAATTGGTCAAACAAAAACACATAATTAGGAGCATAACTAATATACAAGTTGTTTTTAAGTTTGAGTATATTACGTTGTTTGGTTGCATAACAATCATAGTATAAATTTTACCATAAATAATAATTATATTTCGCTTTTTTTGTATGAATAATACAAGCATAAGTTATACAAAAATCTATAGATTATTTTCTGCAATACGGAATAACATTACAGAAATTAGTACTACGATGACAAATTACCTCATCACTTGAGACTCGATCTTTTTTCTTTCCTATGTCTAATATGCAGAACCACGCTTCTTATGTTCAAAGTTTTAATCAAATGTTTGGTTAATATTTCAAAAGTTATTCAATTAATTTTTGTATTACTAATCCATCTATAATTTGTCTTTGAATTAGGGGTGTACATGGACCGGGTTGGTTCGGTTTCTATCAAAACCAAACCAAACCAATTATATCGGTTTGAATTGGTTCGGTTTTGTCGGGTTTTTCGGGTTTTCGGGTTTTTTTATTACATGAATATTATTTCAATCTTACGTTATTAAAATTATAGATAAAGCTTTGATAAGTGAATATATGTTTAGTAAATATGAAAAAAATTGACAAACATATGATCTATTAAAATATTCTAATGTGAGAAATTTTTTAGTAACACATGATAGTTATTTTCTTAGTCGTCTAACAATAATTTTTCGTTAATTTGCACTTTCAAGGTTAATACATGAGAGGATTCCAAATATTTCTACATTTTCTAAAGAAAAATCACTACAAAGTCTTAAAAATATAAATAAAATTTATATATTTATATGTCGGTTTGGTTCGGGTTTTTTTACTCAATATCAAACCAGGTCAAACCAAACCTAGTCGGATTTTTTGATCGATTTGGTTTGGTTTTTCGGTTTGGTGCGGTTTTACGGTTCGGTTTGAACACCCCTACTTTGAACTAAATGATTCCTAAAGGTGTATATGTCTCAACCCCAAAAACTTCAAAGGAATAAATATATATGAGCCTTTAAGTAAAAGAAAAATAAAAAGAAAGAGAATAAAAATAAATAATGGAAATTATAAGAGATATTTATTCAATATATTTATTTTTAATGTAATGCATATTGAATATATATTTAATGTAATGCATATTGAATATATATTTAAGCTATATTTTTTTAGCGACGGAGCTAGAAATTCATATAAGAGGATTGAAAAACACCCCAACTTTTTTTTTCCCGATTGGACTTGTGAGCTAAGATAACTTGGGGTGTTTTTCAATCCTCTTACATGAAAAACTCGGATTGAACGTGTGTGCTAAGAAATTAATGAACTTTATTCTCTTAGATCACATATTTTAATTTAGCTCACAAGTTCAATCCGAGTTTTTCATATAAGAGGATTGAAAAATACCCCAAGTTATCTTAGCTCGCAAGTTCAATCCGAAATAAATAAAAAATTGGGTGTTTTTCAATCCTCTTATATGAATTTCTAGCTCTGTCGCTAAGAAAATATAACTTAAATATATATATTTAATATGCATTACATTAAATAAGAATCATAAAGATAAGGTAATTTTAATTGACTCTGATTACTTATTCTACTTATAATTTTAATGAACTCTAATTACAATTTATAATAGATATTACATAATTTAAGTTATATCTAAAATCATAAAAAAATATTAAATTGAGGAGGAAATTGAAGATTCAAGGGCAAAAAAAGTATTGTGTAGGATAAAGGGGGAGAATGATTAATGTTCAAAGTTGAGGGGAGTTTGATTTTTAACACAAAGTTGGGGAGGGTAAATGATTTTCACCCAAAATAAAATAAGAGAGAAGAGAGCGAAAGAGAGATCTTGCTCCAAAAATCAAGTTACAAAAAAAAAAAAAAAAAAAAAAGAAGAGCCGTTCTCCCTCTATTTTCTTCCTCTCCGATCCAATTTATGGATTCCTTATAATCGAATTTAGGATTCATTTTCCTCCTCAATCGTTCAAAATTTTCCAATTTTCTCCCATTAAATACTTGTGAACGGCAATTCAATTCTATATTTATTTCCATTCGGGCACCAACTGATTTACAGATTCACTTACATTGCTAATTGATCTGTGTTTTAGAGGGCAGCCTGATAATTATTTTAGGGTTTTCGACAATGATTTAAGTGATTTTTTTCTAGTTTTATTGATTGAGATTTTGGATTTAATGGCGTCGGCTCAGGTGCTGCGTAAGCAAGAGCATTTGCAAGCTGGGAAAAAGAAGGTACGAATTCGAACATTCTAGAAAGTTTTTATTTGATTGCTTTTGTATTTATTGATTCATTTATGTGTTGAATTACTAGATTGGCGGAAAATAATCAGTATTTTAGTTAAGGATATTCTTACTGTTTATTTGACCAATTTACTTTATGTTTGTTCTGAATAATGCTAATGAGCTGATTACGATTTGTGGTATGCGCGAATTGCTAGCAAAAGTGTTGATTTTGTATGAGTTTAACTTATATGCACGACAATGCAATTTTTATAAGGCCGCTCAAATGATATCTACCAGTAACCCTCCATAAAAATGGGTTTCGTAATCTTGAGGCAGGTTACCTGCTACAACATGTAACGGTGATAACGACCGTTGAGCCTGAATGATCTGAATTTCAATTAAGATCAATGGGATCTTCTCAATACTTATTTTATTTGTAATCTCACATGCACATTATCTTTTAGCTAGGGTGACCATTTGCAGAATAGTGTTTGCCTCTGTAGTTTCTGTTTTCCCTTATGCCTATTCTTTTGAGAAAGAATATTCCTATTTGTAATGCCTTGATTAGCAATAGCAACAATGTGTGATGGGGAGTGTTGATTTTGGTGAATGTTTGGTTGGAGTATCAGAATGATTTTTCTTATATTAAAATTTTGGTGCAATGTTTCTATGATCTTTTAATTCTTTATTTTGTATCATTTGCAGCTAGAGGAGTTTCGTAAACAGAGAGCAGCACAGAGGGCTAAAAAGTCTACTTCCAACAATCAACCTCACAATTCGGATGGAGGCTTTGAGAATCAACCTTTGGAAAATGAACACACAAGAATCACTGACTCTCGTGGGGCTGGTACATCTGATGCAGTTGGTAGAGCATTTTTAGAGTTATCTCGATCAGATGTTAAGCATGATTTCATGAATCCTGATCTTGCCCAGAACAGTAGTTTAGCTTCTTCCTATAATGCTAATGCTAGTTCAACTCATACTTTATACAACAATGATAATGATGTTAGTGCTTCTTCTACTGTTAGTGGAAACAATAATGGTTTTGATTCTTCCATCTCAGTGTCATCTCATTCGGGAGATAAAGTGTTTAAGGGTGATGAAAGCCCAAAGTTGTCTAAACAATTCAGCAATAGTTATGATTCCTCTGAGAAAACGGAGAACTATGGAGCCTTAGGATCTGTTGGATCTGGATTTAATGCTAGTCATTCTACAGCTAATTTTCTTTCATCAGCCCCCAGTTACAATAAAATTTCCAGTCAGTTTACTCATGATGGTCTGAGTAAAAGCATATCAGAGGATAACAACAGAAAGGATCTTTCTGTAATAGATAGTGGTACTTCTCATTCTGCACCTTCTAATGTTTCACCTGAAAATTCCCTTGGTCCTCAACTGCAAGAAAAACCAGGTTATATGGATCCTTGGGCTAGTGGGTTGACTTCCTCATCATATGAAGGTAATTTTGTGGTATGTTTAATTTTGTGGTATGTTTAATTTTGTTTTAACTTACTTTTATCCCTTGTATTGTGCTTTCCTGTACCTAGCAAACCTCATTGCCTATGTGCTATATATCTATTCAGTTAATCACTTGGGGTTGGATAATCTGACATATTATTCCCATTTTTTGATAGATTATAAGCGCCCTGCAACCAGCAGTACAAATTCTTCTTTGGAAGTTGGGCAAAAAGAAAGTGCCGTGGAAGCTAATAGTTCTATGGTTTCTGATATTGGGCATGGCCAGTTTAGCAGCTCTGGTTTTTACATGACCAACAATTCATCTTCTTGGGCATCTGATTCTAGATACGATGGCATCAGTTCAGAATCAAGAAGTTCTTCTAGTTATTCACAAATGTCTCCTCCCATTGTTGGGAGGAGATCTCGTCCATCTTTCCTTGATTCCATCAGCATTTCAAAAGTTCCTGCTATATCCCCTTCTCCAACTGAATCAGTTTCTGCAGACAGATTTGACCCGGAGGTTCATCCCACGGACACTTTGGAATCGTCCAACTCCATGAACGTGATGAACTCTTCAACTTTTTCTGCTAAGGGGTCTGATAAGTTGAATCATCATACTGAGAAAGACACGGGCAACATGGACAACCATTATCAGTTTTATGCAAAAAAACAGAATGAAGATTTTGCTGCTTTAGAACAGGTCTTTTTTTTTCTTCCATTTATTTCCCTTGCTTTAGAAGTGATAAATTTAGGTCAGGATGTCTTCGAAGTCAAAATATAGTTTGAAGCTACTGCTATGTGATGGCTAATACTTCGAAGTCAAAATATAGTTTGAAGCTACTCTATGTGATGGCTAATATATGAAAAGTGCTCTGCTGTTGAAAATTATCCTTAGTAGTGAGAATGTTGCGCTAATAATAAAGCCGTTCACTTACTAGTTATGTGATGCGTCTAGGAGAGAACTGCAGAAGTTTGAGCTACCAAATTTCCTATATAGTTTCAAAGATACAGATTCTGTGAATTGAATGCAAGATTTTGAGTCTTTCACATTGAAATATGAACACTTAAAAAGTTTCATTATAAAATATAATGGATGGTGGGTCGGTAAAGTTGAATGGAATGCAAAAAATATTAGTAAGGTAGAATACTGCCGCAACCTTGAGGTGTGCATTAGTCAGATTTGATTTAATTTTAATATTGTGGTATATGCACTTGGAAAGGTCTATGGTTGTGTAGAGATTAAGCTGAAAGAAGTAAAATAATTTAACGTGTTAAATATCGTAATAAATAGACTCTGATGTGAAGTGGACATTGGTAATCACGTTTCTTTTTCTTTAATTTTAAAAAAGATTCTTTGTTTACTAGCGCAAGAATACTCACTTTTACATCGAGGGGCAGTGAACAGGGATGATAGGGGCCATGCATAATTGCATAACTCTCAGGGATGTAGGATTTTGCATAAGGGTATTAAATTGTTCAATACCTGTATGATGTGTACTTTTGCATTTTTGACAGCATATTGAAGACTTAACGCAAGAGAAGTTCTCTTCGCAACGTGCTCTTGAGGCTTCGCGAGCTCTAGCAGAGTCTCTAGCTGCTGAAAATTCAGCCCTGACAGAGAGTTATAACCAACAGGTACACATTTTCTTTTCATATATGTAAAACAGATTGGCTGAATACATAGACAGACACGTGAAAGGGAAAGGATGCCACATAAAATGGAATAGAAGGAGTAGTAATTATTTCATTAATGTGCTGGAAAAATCTACACAGAGTTATGATTCGCTATAAATAACACCTAATCATCTGTACTAATATGAACTTCATGGGTGCACAAAAAAAAAATATAGAAACACAATGTAGGCCTTCATTTTTACAAATCATTTTCCTTTAAGGATCTTAGGTACTTACTCTCCAAAGAACCCACATGATAGCTAAAAGGGCTACATCCCATGATCTACATCTTTTTTTCTTCTTCTGAAAGACCTGCTGAACATCAAAGGCTTAACTATAGCCGATGTTGACTTCTGTATTTCAAACTGATTCGGTACACAAGTGATTAAAACCTGAACGTGTTTCAACAAGTGGTCCACGTCTTCTCCTTGAGGGTTTACTTGCGTAACACCAGCTACCGTTTGTTGCATTAAGTATTGTGTGCACATGTCTAACATTCTCGGTAAGTTTTGTTGATCAATTAAAAGAATGGATTTTTCTTACTCCAATCAGTTGCTTAATTTTTTTTGCAGGGCAGTTTTGTAAGCCAATTAAAGGCCGACATAGAAAACTTGCAGGCAGAAATTAAAGCACAACTGGTTTGTACATATCCTGCTTACTTATTCTGTATTAGATGATCTGTATTTTCCTTTTTGAATGTTGACACTTTGAATTACATTGCACAACATAGCTAAAATTGCGAATTGGTGTTATCAGGTGTCAGTGTCTGCCACTGATTTTATCTGTGTGCATTTTCAAGTTGATCGACCAAGAAATGAAACGACCTATTTGCTTTGCTATTGTTGATATGACATCTTGAAAGTGGTAGAACAACATGGATGTTGCAGAAAGCTAGTGTAAATATGTTCCATTGTTTCTAAACAGTACAAATAAATGTGGTTGTTTGGATCTTCCATTCTTCGTTTTTCATAAATGTGGTTGTTCGGATCTTCCCTTCTTCATTTTTAGTTTCTTTCTCCTATTGGGTTGCATAACTAGCATTTAGACTCTTATAAATGAGTTATGTATGAAATGCCTTATTACAAATAATTATTTGATTGATCTGGAGAGTTGATAGTATGTTGAAGGATCTGACAATTTTTCTTCTCTGAGCATGTCGCACTAATGATTTTTGTTTTTCTTGATAAATTGTAGTGATTTACATTTTTATTTCTTATACATAGATTTTTGACATTAACAACTTGTTCTTGAACCTTAGTTCTTGGTCAACCCTCTTTTTTCCTTTTTTCTTTTGAAGGGGCTTCATGAAGTATATTTACCATCGTTTAGTCTGAAACTATGTCTGCAAGGCAAGAGATTCTCGAAGTTATGTTGAATGGTTTTCCAGATACAAATTTTGTAAATGGGTACCATCCGTATTTTCTATGTTAATGCCTGTTGAAGATTGTGTTCATTCATCTTAACTCTAAAGTAAAGGATACATCTGCGATCCTATTATTGGAGAAAGTTTTTGCAATTGGAATGGTGGAATGAACTGGTTTCTCGTATTGAGATTATTTCAGATATCTGGCAAGCAATCTTTGTACTAACATAGCCTGATGAGTTTTGGCTATTCATTGTAATGGACTTGATTCTTACCATAATCTTGGAGATACGTGATTTTCTATTTGTTACGTTCAATGTAAGTAGGTTGAGCTTGAAGCTTTGAAAATGGAATATGCAAACGTACAATTGGAATGTAATGCTGCAGATGAACGTGCCAAGCTATTGGCTTCTGAAGTGATTGGATTGGAAGAGAAGGTAACCAACTATAGCATTGCCTGATGTTGAACCAAATCCTTCACAAAGCCCTTACTGAGAATTTAAAACTTGAATGAAACTATTGAGCTATACTTATTGGAAGAGAAACTTACCTTCTTTTTCAAAAGAGAATCTGTATTCCACTAGAACTCTATCGTATTTAAAATGTAATCGTAGATAGTGTTGTTTATATTGGTATTTCATGTTTGTTGAACTTGAAAGCGACTTAGCTTTGTGGGTGTAGCCAGCAAAGTCTGTTGTAGATACGGTTCCCTTTTTGTTCTTTTTTTTTGGTTACTCTTTAGCCAACACATCTTATGCGGAGTCACTTGATATATTCACTTTAAAAGTGTAGAGTGAGGCTATCGGAGAACTCATATGGTAGCCTCATAATAATGCATTGGTCATATGCAAAGAATTTAGCCTTTCTTCATCAATTGTACAGAAATCTGCAAGGGAATTACATTTGTCTTGAATTTTTAGTTTCACACATTCTCTGCTAAGTCCTCCATCGAGGGATCTTTTCAATGTCTGTCAACATGTAATACTTAGTTTTTGATAAATGTTCGTCACGTGTAATACTGGTGTGGTATGTGAAGTCTGATCTTTTGTCCCTTCTTCTTATGGTTTAAAAATAAAATTGAAATTAACTTGGTCACAATGCTGACTTGGGTAATTTTTATGTCCAATCTTTGTTGTCTATTCTATTTTTCTTTCTATCGATGCATAGGGTTGCTTTCATGTTTCTTTTTTGATTATATTTCCTGTTGATATTAGAATATTGGGACTGCCTTCTCTCTTTTTTTTAATTGTGCCTTCTCTAGTTTTCTTTTCTTCAGAATTGATGATTAAGTGCGATCACTTATTTTTTTGATAAATGATAATCTCCACTCCGAGATAATAACTTTGACTAAACAATCTTGTAGGCACTTCGTCTGAGATCTAATGAGCTTAAACTTGAGAGCGAATTGGAGAAATCACAAGCTGAAATATCTTCTTTCAGGTATGCTCAAAGCTTTCCCGTGAACACGTCTAGGCCATAATTTTCATTCCCAACTCTGATCTGGTCATAGTCATCTTTCGCTTATATTTGTTCATCCCCTCCTCCCATCTCTTTGTTATCCTTGCCCTGTCCTTTCTGGACGACCCACCCTTTTCGACAGTGGAGATGCCTCTTTTTCTTTTGGAGCAAGAATGGAATATGGTTTGTGGTTTCGTTCTTTCTTGTTTAATGCAGGTGGAAATCAATGACAGCAAGATATCATAACTGGGATAAAAGCTAAGGGAAAATAGATAACACAAACATTTTAGTGAAATTAATAGTTGATTACTATGATAAGGATATCCCGCATACTAGATATTAAACAATGGAATCATGCTGATGCTTTTTTCCTGTTGCACTGCAAGTCTGCCCCATGCATATGTCTTGGAACAGCTGGCGCTGCAGAGGCAAGGGACTTCTTGTGCTTTTCAATAATAGAAAAGATGTGCAACTGGTTATAAAGACAGATCTCAGAAACCAAGTAAATCTGATCTGGTTCACTTATTTTGGAGTTGATGTTAACAGTTAGTTGGCTGATTTAGAGTGCTCTTGTGATGATTAAAGGTATATGGTACTAAGGATATACGGCTTGAGGAATGAAAGCAAATACTCTGGAAGTGTGGACAGAGTTACTGTTTGAAATGTTAAGAATGGCAATGTTAGAGAATGAAAAGGTTTGAAAGGAAAATCTAGAAATTAAATTAGCTGCCAACTCACATTTTCCCATGAGGATTCTTATTTCTTACTAATATTAAAATAAGTTCAATAACTTGATTTTGCACTCAGATAATTGGACTTGGAATAAGTTAGGAAACCGCTGAATATTTTACACTCAACTGGTGAATACTTTATGATTCCTTTTGAGAAATGGCAATTTGCCGAAGTACCAAAATACTTCTAACTCCAAGAGTTTAATTATATGGGTTCCTTGACCTGACATCGATCTTCTGAAAATAAGAAATATGTTTCATGTCTACACCCAAAAGTAACGTTATATGCTCCAAACCTTACCTCTTGAAAAGAAAGCAGCTTTCCTTGTCCCCACTTGCACTCATCTCATCTTGTTTATAAAAAGATAAATTATCTAAAGTCGCATGTCTTATGGGCTAAATATTTGAGTAGCATATGACTCGTTTTGCCTTAATCATTGACTTCTAAGTTGCATTAGATGTGGGTGTTTATCTCATTCAACTTTCTCTTGATTTTCTGCAGAAAGAAAATGGCTAGCCTTGAAAAGGACCGTCAGGATCTGTTGTCGACGATTGATGCTCTAAAAGACGGTAAGATGCTGATAGTGGTTGTGTGCTAGATGACAAGTTGGTTTTCATTTGTAGGAATACATGAGCTGCGGTTATATTGATAGATGTCTCCTCTTCACCGCCTTAAATAAACTTCACATAGATAATACTTCTTGCTTCCTCCTATGGCAGCTTGGCTCAATATAAACAAGCTATTTCACAATGTTGTTCGGTGACATCAACTATTATATAAGTCAATTATTATACTCAAAGCAAATAATTACCTAATACTCTTTTTCTTTTACCAACTGGATTGCAGATTTCGGAAGTGTGTGTGATATTTTTACTGTTGTAATGAAGTATGTAGGTCCATGCATTTGCTGCTTGGCTTTTGGAGGTTGAGTTTATCTAGCTGTAGGAAAAATTTTCCTGTATCAAACTACTGTGGAAAACAGTTTTGAGGGGTCTTGTTTGGATCTTGCATAATGCTTATCTTGTAAGCTGAAACAGTATGGCATCCGGAGAGTCTTTAAAGTCTGGGTCTGACTATTAATAATAGGCCCATTCGACATGTTTTAAAACAATGAATGATTTCTTATCTGACCTTTTTTTAGAAGAAATGTGTGAGTGTTTTCTTTTCGAGTGGTTGGTAAGTTTATCATGCAGGAATTCAAAATATTGTCTTCTTTATGACTACGCCAGCAAATGATTGAGTTTTCTTCTCTCTTGGTCTTGCTTTCTAATATATACACTAATTCCTCTTCTGAATATATACACTAATTCCTCTTCTGATATCTGATCTTCAAACCTCGAATATTTAAAAGCTTTATCGTTCTCTCAGAGTCTGCTTGGACAAATGCTGCAGGTGTTGCAGTTATTTTTATCCTAGAACCTATTTGGACTCTTTAGAGTTTTTTGCTTGTAATTGATTTAGAGCAATATTAAATTATCAAGGAATGTCAAGTGGTTTTACCTGTAATTGGTTTAGAGAAATATTGAAGTGTCATCTCTTCCCCTGCCAGTTTATTAGAGACCCTATTTTTGACTTGAGTGATTTTGCTTGTACTTGATTTAGAGTGATATAGGGTTTCCATTTCTTTCCCCACCAATTTCCTGAATACGTGTATTGATCTTCTTATTTTTCTTTTCTCTCAACAGAAAAGAAGCTGTTGCAGGCGAAACTACGAAAAGCTTCTGGTAGTGGCAAGTCACTTGATGTTAGCAGGAGTATGCCTAGTAAAAAAGATGTATCAACTTCAACAGAGGATCTCCGTATGTGGTGTCAGATTTCACCAATTACATCTTCAGAATGTCTCTTTATATTTGTTTTTACATTTTCGTAAATTTCGTAAATTTTAATTATACGGTGTTGTATTGGTTCAGGTGAAGATAAAGTCGTAAATACTACCATGGATGACCCTAACTTAGAAGCCCACAGTACTGAGGGCCCAACCTTTTCATATCTGCCTGAGAATGATCAGCTCAGTCTTGAAAGTTTATCAACGGCAATTCCTCCAGATCAGATAAGGATGATCCAAAACATCAATACATTGGTTTCTGAGGTAGCTTCCTTCGCATAAAATATTTGAGATTGATCATATTTGCTCCCTCTACTTCCTGTCTGCTCAGCTGCTTATATTTTAAGGCATTTTTTACCATACCAAAGATCTGAACAATTTTCTTCCAACTTGGACGCTTACAGTTAGCCTTGGAGAAAGAAGAGTTGATGAAAGCCTTGTCACTGGAATCATCTCAATGCTCTAAATTGCAGGTAATTTGATGAAGGCAGCACTACCCTTGTTAGTAATATCATTCAGTATTCTTTTTCATTTTGGATCTAATATGTGAGTCAAATTATATTTTCACCTTAACTTTAGGTTCCTTTTGCACTTTTTACCTTTCCGTTGCGTCTACATAAATCACCGATGTATAATTGCAAATGTACCATTTTTTGGCCGCGTGTCTCCTTCTGTAAGCCAGCCCCTCTAGTATGCTTGCACATGTTTTTTCAGGATCTTTCAATCTTCATATAGTGCTTTTGTCCGGCCCTTCCCCGGACCCTGCGCATGGCGGTAGCTTAGTGCACCAGGCTGCCCTTTTTTAATCTTCATTTAGTGCTTTGGGAAGTGCAATTAAACTTTCACAGGGTTCACCTTTAGTTTAAAGGTGGATACTAACAATATTCTCTCTAAAATTTTTTGGTGGATTTTTCTTTTGTTCCTTGCGGAGTAAAGGAGTTAAACAAGGACTTGACCCGAAAGCTTGAAACTCAAACACAAAGATTAGAGCTTTTGACCGCTCAAAGCATGGCAACTGGGAACAACCAAGCAAGGCAACCAGATGCTCTATCCATCCACGACACCACCATGTATTCTGATGAAGGTGATGAGGTAATATTATATAGCTTGAAACTTTTCATTCTACAAGGATACTGTATGAACCTTCTTGTAGTCTAATATGACTAAAATATAACTGCTTCTGTATGCCTGTATCCTCTTAAAGACTTAAAAGTTATCTTGTTGCTCCTTTCATCTGTCAATTTTAACATTTTAACACTTGTACTTCTCTCTCACTCTATTTCGAATTTGAAGTTTAAGCTGGCACAGAGCACCCCTTTGAACAAAAAGGGAGCACCATTGTGCCCTTGGATTTGTATTTAATTTTTAAGCCATGCTTCAAGAGTAAGCTGCTGGAGCTTTATCGACCTGTCAGAAATATAGAAACATTATAAAATACAGATATCAGTTTCCAAACATCCGCAAATTGTAGAGGTTCGAACATAGAATAGCTAGTTACAGGAATGACTATGAAGCAGCGGTGCCTTGAAAAATCCACCTATAGGGCTGTTGCTTTATTTTTTCTCGAACCAGTCGAACACTCTTTTCCAACAAACTCTAACATTTTGTAAGTTTTCATTTTGAGATCTTGGAATAACAGTATAACACAGCTTGCTAGCCGGTTATCAGGTGTTCATTCTCTTGCGCGTCAACCATTCTCACTCTTTGGCCTCCTCATCTCCTTGTAATTGAATTTCATAGTTGCTACCTCGTCTTTGAGTATAATTTCTTCTTTTGCATCAGATGGTGGAACGAGTCTTGGGATGGATCATAAAGCTATTTCCTGGAGGACCATCAAGGCGGAGAACCAGCAAGCTTATTTAGTTTCCATGATGGAGTTCGACGAGTGTTATCCATCAAAAGTTCATCTTTTCTCCTCTGCGCCTTGTATTTTTTTGTGGCCTGATGGAGATGGTTTATGTGTACTATTAATGGTTCATAGTCCCATTTTTTCCCCAGAAGAAGCAAATTGCTTCTAGGAGGCATTTTAGAAGATGTGATATTGATAATTTTACAGATTTGGCAACAGAGCAGAACCTTTGTTCCATTGTTTACACCTACCGAACATCGAATCGGAGACTGGAGATGAGAAATTGCTACAGAAAAAGTTAGAGAATGATGAAAAACTACTATGAAGAAACTCAAGATGAAGTTTGTTAATATTATATTTAGGTGATGGTTTTACTTGTGAATTAATAGGGAAAAGGAGGAAAAGGATCAAAATGATTCTTCCTTCTTTTTTTTTTTTTTTTTTTTTTTTTTTTTTTGATTTTGGGTCTAAAACCGTATATATCAAAAGAATGATCTCGTTAATTCTTCCAATATGCTCAGTACCAAGATTGCTGATGTGGTTGAAGTTATAACTTAGCATACAAGTAAATTCATTAGAAAGGAAGTTCAAATTATAAATTTACTTGTACGTGGAGGGGTTAAAAACAAAATGCATAAGGAAATTTGCTTTCAGGGATAGTAGAAGTAAAATCTTCTTCAGGAAGCTTAATCAAATGTGTGCACAACATTCTTTACATCCCTTGTGGTGGTAGTTAGGTGCTTTTGAACTACCAAAGGTTGTGGTGGAGTGATAATTACTTCTTTGTTCTTAATCAGAGGTATCAGGTTCGAGTCCTGAGTATTGATTTGCTATTGGTAGGGAGAGATTTATCCCCACAAAACGAGATTTTTGGCATGAATTCGAATTAGTCGAGGCCAAAAGCAGGTAGCAGACCCGAGTGAAAAACAAAAACCAAAAAAGGTGGGAGAAATTCAAAAATAGCCAGATTTACCACTGGTCGTTGAAAAATAGCCAAGTTTCAAAAGTCATCAAAATTTAGCCACTTTAAATCTGAGCGAAAACACTGTTCAAAATCCGGAAAAATACGCCCGCAAATTTTACGGGAGTTCCAGCATACGTATGCTGGAACTCCCGTAAATTTTACGGGAGTTCCAGGATAACTATGCTGGAACTCCCGCAAATTTTACGGGAGTTCCAGCAAGTATAATTGTCCAGTATAATATACTGGAGTTTGGAGCACTGGTGCTCCAGTCTCCCGTATATTATACTGGACCGGTCCCTGTTGCAGCAAAATAGTGGCTATTTTTCATTGACTTGGTAAACGCTGGCTATTTTTTATTGACCAGTGTGAAAACTGGCTATACCATGATATTTTAACAAAAAAGGTAGGTGCTTCTCCACACATTTGAAGTGTTGAACTACTCGAATTTTCTTAACAAAAAACCAATTGAAACCACTCTGCTGACTTGAAGAACAAATCTTCATGTTGTTGGTAAACATCAATATTCGCACAAGTACACATTTTCCTCATAGTACCCAACTGTCACAAGAATTGTCTTGGCCAATTACTAAATTATTTATAGACACGTGGATCTTTTCTATTGTCTATATGTGACCAAAATCTATACGTAGTACTTAACAAACATCTTACTGTTATTGATGGAACATCAGGAAAAACAAAAGGCTTACCTTTTTTAATTTCTTGGAAATTTTAAAGTTATACTACTATATTATTTTTAGTTGGATTTGTATCCGACCTAGAATTTTGAAAAATAATCCTATCCTATGTATGACAATGCCCGTGCATTAAAATATTTGTAAATATAGTAAGTGCTACAACTTAGGTAGGAGCACTAGACTTTATCTCGAATGATTGTGATAAGTTTTATAATGTGTAGTATGAAATTGCCTTGAAAAATTTTGAGTACTAGCTTTTATTGAGTTACTTGAACTATTAGCAGTTTAGAGTCAGTTTATCAACAAATTACTCCTCACTTTGGGTTTAATCTTCGAAATGAAATTCGTTAGTTTTAATTAGTAATAAGTTTTTTTTTCACGAGTTGAACTTATATGTATTGACAATATTAAAGAATTTTTTCACGTTAATTCACCTAAAAATAACTACATGCAATCACTCATAATAATGAGATGAAAAATACTCTAGGCCATCTGCCGTAAAGGTTAAACTCTATAGTGACAGTATATAAAATGACATTGTCATTTTATATAATTTAAATCCAAATAAAAATACTCCCTTCGTTTAAATATATGTGACATAGTTCAAATGAAACTTTTAAAATTTGTAACCTTAAATATGTCATAGTTTTTGTGTCTCTATAAAACTTTTAAAACTTGAAACCTTAAATATGTCATAACATTTATGTGGTTATAAAAGCTAAAGGTAAAATACAAATATAAAGTTAATTATTTTTAATTAAAATATGTATGATTCTTTTAAGGGAGAGTAATATTATAATGTCGAAAAAAAGTATATTCAAACAAATATTTGTTGTCAAATATGCGCCTATATGCGCACCATGTTTTCCGCCGAGAATGTAGGCCCAGTAAGAAAGAGCTGGCAAAAATAGATCTAAAATTCAATACCCCACACAAAACGCTCCTATAAATGAGTTACATGTGATTTTGGAAATATGTGGAATATTGGAACCTACTATATATATATATATAT